CCATTGGGCTGGGAGAACATTTGGAGCGTATAATTTAGATTCTGATCTCAGAGGAACAAAAAAAATATGCTTCCCGTTTTACGAGAGTCGAAAAAAAAGGGTAAACAACACGACCATAATAACAAGCCGGCCTCGATGTGGAATGACCGATACGTGCCTTTCCTTGACCGACTTCCGTTTCCCCGAGGATGAAGCCGAGAAGCAACGGGACCTTCATCTGACGGAATCCTCCATTCACCTTTCAACCCTTTCAGGTTTCTCAGACTTTCTTGGCTTTTCAGTCCTCGTTCTGGTGCGGGCGGCCTTCTGTGCCACGAAATGCTCTTCGATATCTGCGGAACGTCAGACTAGCCGACAACGCCTGGAATCGATCGCCTTCAGTCGGTTTTTATTAATTGTATCAATTTTTTCCCTCCATATGGCACCATTGCACCATTTTTTCCCTCCGTAGTCATTTTGCGAGTTTAACTGATGATTATTCCATGATTTTTTTAATTATGGCAACGACTTACTATATAACATTTACCATTTAAAAGGATTTTCGGCTGGGTATTCGCATGTTTCTTGGATATTTTCAACTTTATATATACCGGGAACACTTATTGAACCTCTGAGCCTATGATAAAAAAATACCTGATTTGTGTAACTAAAGTCAGTCAAATGTCTATAAACACATCCAAGTCACATGGAAAGTACTGTCTCTAGTACTACTCTACCATATTTGTATGATTTGAAATTTGATTTGCCTAAAAGCAAGTGGCACTGAGAAATACCGAATTTCATTGGGTATGCAGCCTTTAAACTTTATTATTTTATTAAATTCAAATTAACTTCGTGTTCCATGCCGTTATGGGGAAAGCAAAAGGAATATGAAGTATTGTGAAAACCAATTTTCAGTGGTGACCCCTTTCTTCAACCCTTCCCTACGGGACTCATTAACTCTAGGCCCAGGCTTAACCCACAGACTGCCTTCATGTTATGCCAAGGCCTACCTTTTTTTCATTTCAAACTCAATTCTTGGCTTATGGGGTCAATTAGCCCAATACGGGTGAATCTGTGGTCTTCGAGACATCTCGTTAAGGACGTGTAACGTGTAACGCAGGCCTATTCATACTTTCATGAACCATTTCAGTAGGGACATGGAACGTTAGGCCTAACTGGAGTTCCTCGAACCATCTCGAATAGGTCCGATTTCATGCCTCCAGGAAGCATGAAATCCATGGTGCGCGCCATCCTGTTGATTCAGGGATGTCCGGATAAGATATCTCCTTATCCCATCATATCTATCAATCACTGATAACCACCGCTTCATTCTTAGCTCAATTCTTGAACTCGGCAAGAAAGTGTCTCATACAATAAAGAAAAGCAAAAGATCCAGACGCAGATACGAAAGTTGAAGTAGTCTTGAATCTAGCATTTCGGCATGACATTCAGCAACGCTGGGAGACGGAACCGGAGTTAGCAGTTTAAGCTTATATGAAAGACAACTCGTATCACTTTTCATGGCGAAATGGTGCATCGTAACCAACAAAAGGGGCACTTTTCGTCATCTGGGAATGAAATTCACATAGTCCAAAAACGAGATTCAGTGCTCTCCAGAACCTCGTGGAGATGGAGCTTCAAATTTGCTGGAGCGATTCTGCGTTGAGAGAGGAAGAAATATGCACAATTTTGTTCCTGTTGATGCTCTCACAGAGGAATTTGAATTTTGTTACGGAAAGGGGTTGAAGAAAGGCAATAAGCGCTATTAAAGCCTACTGATTACCAACCAAAACTGTGGAAATATGAGTTCATTTAATTATTCTCATTTTTCTTGCTCGGGTCAAATAATATGATCGAAACTTTGAAAGATTCAATGCGACGATACTGTGCGCGGTTAAAATTCGATGCAAATTCCCTGCAAGTTTGAGATGTAAATTTCCGTCTGACGCTGAAAAGGTTAATGCTTATTTTGGGCTTCCTATAATTTCTTGGAAGCTTCACGCCGAAGTGATTCATACCATAAAACCTCACTCAAATTCATTTCCATCAAGTCAACGATATTAATTCGTCAGACAAAGATTAACGGTTCCTCAGTCTAATCTTGTTTCCGGAGTTTTTAGTTTGAGTATTTTAAATTGTCTTTTGGTGTACGACTGTCTGTTTCAGTGCATGATTGGTGATTGACTAATTTTGTGCCGAGCTGATGAAATTATTAGTCGCCGCAGAAGGAAACGAGTTAATCCTAAATGGCCTTGCACTCAATTTCTCGTTGTCGCCTTTATCTAAAGATAAAGATCCGCCTCGAATGAGACGAGAAAACAATTAGTTGGTTCCGTAATTGGACCAAGGGATCTAATGTGAATTAAGCTGTTTCCCATTTCTCTTTCCTTCGGTTCCTCGTGGAAAAGGTCCTTTTCATCGTCAGGGAAGGCATTGTGACGCGGTAACTAATAGGTGACACGGTGATTAATAGGTGACAGTGCTTAATGGGACGAATAGGAAAGGTCCCATCAGGCATTCCAAGAGAGAAAAGAACTAAAAGAGCTTCCCGATGATGAAAATCTCGTTCCGTCGATACGAATTCGGATGGACGGGGACTGCCTCAGCCGATTCCCTCAGTCTTCATTGCTCACTCCAGATTCTCTTCTGGATTTAATGACACATGTTGCCAGAAGTACGACTTGCTTACGAGAAGTATTTGTCCTCATTGTGATCTGACAGTCGTTTCACGAAAAAATCAATTTCTCGAGTAAACATTCTTTAGAGAGTCACGGATGGAGCGATTCATCAAGTCGGAGAACCTTTTCTCTTTTCGTCGGTGCAACCGATTCTCGCAGCATATAGTACCGTATTTACTCGAGTATAGTGCGCCACCGTGTATAAGACGCACCCCCGCTTTTGAAGTCCCAATTTGTGTAAAAAAAAAAAAAAAAAAAAAGATTCTCCGAGTATAAGGCGCACCCCCCTATTTCGTAGCGAAAAATGTCGGACAAGGGAGATGAATAAGGGGTAAAGTCGGTCGTGAGGTCGGTCGAATCTCGTTTCTTATTCACTGTCCTGCCCTTCATCAAGGGGGGTCAATCATCCCTCAGTATCCCTTACGTTCGTTTTATTATCCGTGAAATCGGATGGAAATGTACTGCGAAGTTACACAGCTGCAGACAAATCAATGTGATTCAGGAAGAGAAGGAGTCGGGCATCCGTGCAATAGGTCGTAAGCATGACATTGAGGAAAGCTGTATACGGAAGCGGAAGGAGGTGAAGGCGAAATTGAGTTGGGCTCCAAAGAATCTCATGGTCTTTCGTGGGGAAAAGGGGATAATTTCCGGTAATCCAGATCACTTGTGCTGGAATGCCTCACTTCTGTAGTAAAATCCTAGATGAAGCATACAACGTAAACATTTCGCTTCATTCTGGCGCTGTTTGCCAGTTTTTGGCCTCGAAAGGAGGTTTTATGATTACTGTTTCATTTTTATAATATTATATTTCCCTGCGCACAGAAAATTCAATGCCTCAATTCGATGCATTTTTCTCGCGAAAAAATCTGTCCTGCATGTGATGCGTCTTTATCGCATCGAATTTTGGATGCGGTTATCGCATCAAATGTTGAATCCGATAAAAACGCATCACATGGAGGACAACTTTTTTCTCACGGTCGGGAAGCGAGACATATAAATCGAAAATCCAGTTGATGTCTTTTTCTCTTGAGAAAAATAAATCGAAACGCGAAAATTGAGAGAAGTATTTCATCTCGATTTACCGATTTCTCTGAGTGTGTTCTGACTAACTGCAGACACTGTTTCTGCCTCAATAAGTGACCGATGAGTTATAGGTACGCTGAAAATTTTTTTCCTCGAGTATAAGACGCACCTCCTCATCGAACACAATAAAATATGTTTAAAAAAGTGCCTTATACACGAGTAAATACGGAAATATATTCCTTACCGATACAAAAGGAGATCGGTACTGGGTTCGGTAGACGGTATGGCTCCTGAGGAAGTAGAATATGGCGATGGCGTTCGACGACCCCTAGAGTTATTTGGAGGGTCTGCATTTGCAAGACCGTTTGCACCTCTGGAAGGCAGCAGACAGTCTCTTGGGCACCCATTGTCGCATCTTCTGGAGGCGAAAGCGGTCGTGCATGCGACTTCCTGATTTCATCCAGGATATCATTTTTTTTTCTCCCAAGAGACAGAGTCAGACGGTAAGACGTTTATTTTGTTTGCATATCTACACCGCAAGCATAGGAAAATACTGGCACCTACCGTGTTACTTGATGTAGATAAACGTGTAGCAGTCAGGATCGACGCTGACTGGATGAAGGAAGGTATTCGGAAAGAAAAAACTCCCTGACCAATGGAGACCCAGACGACCTGATAAAAACAGAGCATGACACCCCCAGCCAGCCTCCGTCATGACATTCCAGCCTCCGTCATGACACCCCAGCCTCCGTCGTGACACCCCAGCCTCCGTCCAGAGTCTCCATTAGAGCGCATCTCATTTCTCATCAATGCGGGAACAGAAGCAGACGTGTCGTAAGGACCGGTCCCAACGGAAGGCATTGCGTGCAAGGATCAGCTTGAAATCCGACCGTTTTTGGATCGTATTTATGTCGCGAAGACAGAAGAAAAGGTTCAGGATAAACTCGCTTTGAATCGATGTTTCCACCGACTCTGAAATAAGCCTTGTTTAACCTAACGACTTCCGTGACATCCTTCGTATGCAAGCAAACGGACCAGGAAATTTGTTTTTATTGACATCGGCGAAATTAGCTTCATCGACGCGAAAACGCACAACGGATTTGAAGATACTCTTCCCCGGAAAGAATCTCTACGTATCGATCGATGACGTAGGCAGACACATTGAAATTATAGTCGCTGCATCGACAAGCTCCACGTCTTCGATTTATTGCCTCGAAAATAGACATTTATGGATCACGACTGGAACGGTCAAAGTCTGGATTTTCCACATGTGACGAACAGGAAGAATCAAATAATTGACCAAGACAAGAGAATCGATCAACGATCAAGTTTATTGAGCATCTGGAATCCCATCTCGCAGCTCTTTTCTAAAGCATACTTTCCGATCGGCTCCAAGAAGTCGTGCACGACCTCCGGGAAGAGACGACGCGCCTGCCTCACCACCTGGAACGAGAAATCACGTAACCGGTTGAGACCACAAATAATGTGAATCGAGGTGTTCACGACTTCGATGCGCGAAAGTCGCACTATTGCGAGCTACCTGTAACCGGTACCTTTAGAGCGGTATGGGGCTAATTTTGCGACACGATGACAGAAGTTAACGTGAACCTCGTACTTATCCCTGGCAATATCGTCTATGACAGCTTGCATCAGTCCACGTGTCTTTGGTACTCGGCAACTTCGCAGGCCTGCATTTTCGAATCCACTCCTTACTCTTCTCCGGTTGAGAAAGCGTTTGATTCCAGGCTCTAATTAATCTAATTACGAATCGAAGTTGCGGCATACCGTGATCATACGCTAGCCGGGGAGGATGAGGTATTCAGCTGACACAGCCGGGAGTGCTTTTGCGAGTCCCAAGGGGAGTATCACGTAGTAACTGTTGCCAGTCGGTATCTAATCGTCTGTCAGTGGAGACAAGGGAGGCAGGCCTCTTTTGTCACCACTGACGAGTGTCTGCTGCTGCATGCCACGAATCGCCACTGACCCACCCATACACACCATCGGCAGGAAGAAGTTGCGTTGGGGGGGATGCAGGTTCCATCTGGAGCTGTGGCAGTTGGAACCTGTCACAGCTGCAGAGTTCAAGCTTTTTTTCATTTGATTGCGATTGCAAAGTATTGACTGATTTATTTTCGCAACGCTTCGATTAAAGTAAAAAAAGAAATTATTTCCCCGACTATTTTGACTTCCGTTTCCCCATGAGAATAAATAAAATGATTTAAGCAGTGCCAGCAAAACCAGTGATTCACAAAGCGGGAGACGACACGACGGCAGCATTTCGAAAACATTCCGATGGACCCAATGGATAAACCAATGGTTCCTCGAAGTTGGGAGGGTTCGATGGCCTTTCAATTTTTAATCGAAAAAAAACAAACCTGACGTGGACTCGCTGGAAATTCTAGGGCGTGTGCCCGGAAGGTCCCACTCCAGCAACTCCCGTTCACGTGCATCCACTCCACATTTCGCACGAATGATTCTATCGAGATCACCAAGTTTGACGTAGAGTTTGATGTTAGAGAAGTTTTATGCAGCAACACATTTCAACCCTCCCATAATAGAGGATGAATTGATATAAAAATTCGGCTCACTTTTTGAGCTTGGCAAAGGTACGAACATCGTCAAACAGAGCAAATCCATTTCGGCAGAAGAAAAACGCCTGCAAAAATTGCGAGAGAGAGAGAGAGAGAAAAGCCGTTACGATGTCGAGAAATCTGTTGACGCCACTCGCTTCGCTGCCTTCCAGCCGAACCTTCATTCCCTCGACGTTGAGGATCTCGAACTTGGAGATCTCCACGCTCCGCGCGTGGGGGAGTTCGATGCTCATGCGGGCCTGCAAAATGGGGGATTCGGTAAGGAACGGTTCACGTATTATATGGGGTGGCCCGGTAAAAACGCGGGTTGTTTCACGCTTTATAAAACTCGATGGTCTAGGTTCGTGATGCTTTCGTATCACGTTGGAAACATAGCAAAATTTGTTCTATGAAAGTTTCATGCATCGAGGTTGACTGAATAAAAGTCGACAGTCCTTCAAAGTGGAGTCAAAATTTTCCTTTTTCCGTGATGGAAATCATTTCTCTCGTTTGACGCCATAAAGACGGCTTTTTACGCCTTGTCCTTGTTGCAGTATACGATACGTCGTAGAATAGTACTACTGTCGTACATCATAGCATCAAAATCGATACTACGTAGAATACTTCGATGAGAATTGGCATAAAATTTTGCATTTACGGTGTCAAGGGAGAGAAATCATTCGAGCCGAAACTTCATCCGCCTCATGCGTGGAAACGATACATTTTTTTTTTACTCCACTTTGAACGATTGTCGATTTTTATTCAGACGACCTAGGTGTATGAGACTTCCATTAAAAAAAGTTTTTGCGATGTTTCCAACATGATACGAAAACATCCCGAATCTAGATCATTCACAGCGGCTTTCATAAAGCGTCAAACGGGACGCGTTTTTTTCGGGCCACACGGTATGAGGCAGAAAGGAAAATATTCCTGCAAACCTCCATGTCGACCAGGATATCGTCGACATCTGCCCGCACTTTTCCCCGGAAATTCAGGAACAGGGCTTGAAATTCCAGGGTGTAGTTGAATTGAGCCAATTTAAGTAAGACGGGAGCAGTAACGATAAAGGTTCTTCCTTCTTTCCTCAACGTTGCTTCTCCCTGAGAAACGACAGAACAGAAAACGGGTCGAAATCGGGTCCACCCGTCACCCAGGGGACTGATCTCGGTCCAGAGCCGGATCTGGGTTCAGAGCCGGATTTCGGCCCAGAGCCGGACTCACGTGCCGAATCGCAGTTTGCAGCCCGGTCGCGATGCCCTCGGTCAGCCTCACGGTCACTCCGAGCGGAATTTCCAGACCCGTGTAAGGAATCACCACGCGCCTTCGGGGGAGAGAGCGAAAAATGAACCCCTCGACCCTCGTCGAAAAGCCAGACCGGACCGAAACCGCAAAACTCACCTTCCCTCGATGGCCCACTCGACGGGTCGTAGAGGAGCCAGGTTCCCGACCCGATCGAACGCGACGAAAGCGAGCCCGAGCGCCGTGTCCACCACTTCGTTCGGCGGAAGCATTCCAGACAGATCGAACGCCGGTTCTCCGTTTTCCTTCTTCCTTTCCGGCCGGGTCGCATTCCCATCCAACGAATTCCACTCTGACTGCAATAAAAGATTTTAAAACATAGGAGGATACGGGAGTTATGGTAGATTCGTATGAAACGTTTCCGTGGTGTAGTGGTTATCACATGCGCCTCACACGCGCAAGGTCCCCGGTTCGATCCCGGGCGGAAACAATCCTCCTTTTTTCCCCTTTGAGAGTAAATGCAGTCCTATTTGATGCAATCCAGTTTGATGTAGTCCTATCGCATGCTTTTCTAGAGAGCGGCACAAAAAGGTCATATCTTATTCCTGAATTAAAATTTCAGCTCCATTTTTCTTCTAGGGACGACGAATATAACCGAATTTTGAAACGAGAAAAAAAAAAACGGAGCGCGAGTCTCAAGTCGAGAAGCTGAAAGACTTGCGATTTTGAATACGGCTATGGCAATGTGACCGAAGAAAGTGTAACTAGAGGCGACACTCCAAGGGGTGGGGGGTCGAAATATTGCAGAGACATCTGGTGACTTGTTAAGAACACTTCCATGAGGCATGCTTCGCGGCAGCGGATTCGGGAATCGACTCGTTCGGGGATTCGACCGGGAGGGATTCCTCGACGTAACACCATAGAGCTAAGAAAAAGAACTGGAAATGGCGCGTCCATAAGAGTAGTACAGGGAAAACGGCTGCATTTTGAAGCCATATTGACCATGGCGGCTCGTCACCATTCGCTTCTATGGGATATCCCCCAGCGATTCATGTGCGTTGATTCATAGTGGTTAAAGCGGGCCTGCGGTGCGCATCGGCGGAGTGATGGAGCAGGTACCGCGGGAACATTGGAGCAGCCCTTCTGGATACGGAAGCATGCCCTGCCGATACCCGTCAACACCTCTACCATGCACTTCGTGGTCGTTCTTCGTCTCCTTTAGCCTATGTTTACCTTTCGAACGTTCACTCGAAGTTCGTTCGACTTAATGCCTTAGACTTGCTGTAGAATGTGTCGACTGTGATGATGCAAGGGCGGCGTGACTTAATCGCCTTCAGTGGCCCAGCAATGGCAAGCCTGGAAATTAGAGGCCCACTTAAGAAATTGGAGACTCGTCCACGTGAAAGAAGAGTTCGGACATGACGTTATCGGCTCTACGATACTCCCCCAAGAATTATTAGGCCTCCGGTACCGTTACTGCCAGTCATCACGTTCTCGACAGCAAAAAAACTGGGAAAAGAATTTATTAAAATCTCATAGTAGTGAATGGAGAAGAGAACCCAACTAAGATGGTTTCCAATTGCAGCAAATCCATCCTATTGCGCGCCATCTCCAGTTCTTTTTCTTAACTCATTGCGTAACACGCTTGTCTCGTCGAGTCCGCCGCTCGGCCATCGAGGAGTCGTCGACGCGCTCACGCGAGGTGGAGGATCGACAGCGACATCCGCATTGCGACCCTGTCGAGCCTCCAGCCACGCTCTCAGCGCTGTGATGGCCAACGAAGGCCATATCGCACGAGGACGATCGGCGGTCGAGGACTCGGCGATTTTTACGATTCCGCCGAGGGCGAGGGAGAAACCTCCGCGAGGAATCTGTTTATTCGAGCGGACTCCTCGACCCAAGGGCAGAAACGGTGCTTCCGCGAAATATATATAATATATCACGCGCGAGATCTGGGTGCAGTTTCATGAGTGGATATAAAATCAATAAAAAACCAAGGCGAATCGCCGGCGGTCAGCTGTAGATTCGAGAAAGGTCGTCCTTTAATTGCGGACCGATTTATTTTTATTACGTCCCGCCGAATTGCCAGCAATAAATCCACTCTGAGCATCGACTGCAAGCGCAATGATAACCGTTAATATGCTAATCGCTTCCCATTTGAAAGTGAAAGTGAAATTCGGGTACTGGCCTCGTTCTTCTTCAATAATTTATTATTAATTCTTCTAATTATTTTGATAATAATTTATTTTATATTTTCTCCTAATTTCTTGGATTTCACCCAGTTTTTTTGCCAAATTTTTGCATCTTCTTAGTCATGACGAAAGAAACGTCGAGCCTCTTCGAAATCTTTCTATAAATTAAATAACATTTCAAAAGTTTTTTAATTTATTAATATTTATTATTGCTATACATATTATGGGGGGTATTTTTTCTCTCGTTGCATCCCTACAGACCCTGTTATTTATTTTTACTTTCAACATTTTTCGAGGGTGAAACCCCTCGAAAAATCATTTAAGGACGTCTTCCAGACTCAAATTTCCTAAGAACTCCAATAAAATTCGCAGCAAAAAAAAAAAAATCCCCCAAATACCCGAGACTTAGAAACCACTCAATTACAACCGCATCCAACTCCGGAACCGCGAAGATGCAAAAAAGTTGCCGCGGTTTTTTGCCTCCGCCTTCCGGCATGCCCGGGATAAAAATCTCCGGAATTTTTTCCCCTTTGGCTCTTTTGGTGGAGAACGACGCGTTTCGTGCAGGAATCTCGCCTTCCACCGAGAACGTCCGGCGTTTCTTCATCCAGCATTTTATTTCCTCTCGAAAAAGAATGTGCCAGAGGAAGCATGTTTTTTTTTTTTGCTCTTCGGGAGGCTTTTTTTTTTTCCCTTCCGTTTTGGTTAACGTCCACGATAAGCGCAAAATTCATCGGGAGGCGCAGGAGAGGCTCGGAATAAAGGCATTCATTAAATTTTCACCAATTATTCTCAATTAACGTCAATTTATTGCGACGTTTGAGGTCCTTCATCGCTTTAAATCGCATGCGACATGCACATGCGACATGCACATGCAACACATCTCCTTGCATAATAAGAAAAACTTGAGTGATCTTCGTTCAGATAGATGTTTGATTCACATCCAGGAGGCAATTCGCATTCTATGGAGGCAATTCGCATCCAGGAGGATGCGAATTGACTCAATAGGAAACCTATGAGTTTTTTTACAAGTAAAAATCCTATGCGATTCCTACAGGAATAATGTGCATTACCATGTACTGTGCTAAACAATAAACCGTCACACCACCGGGAACCTCAGCTGCGCGCTAATCATTCCCACAATTAGTAGGAAATGGCATGGTGCTCGAAATGGCATGGTGCTCGAAATGGCATGGTCCTCGAAATGGCATGGTGCTCGATCGTGCATCCTCTGAACGGAGCGTCTGGTTCATATATGCTCATGAAATATGGTAATGTTCTGGCGGCTATTCAGTCCAGATCTCGTACGGGCTAACATGGGACATGGCATTCGGCGATTTCGACGGAAACAGAGGAGAGCCCCTATGAATGAAGCAGGTAATTAATGCGATCACTCGAGTGGAAGATTTCAGCGGAACTAAAAAAATATATTTTGAGATCCGTGCGAAGAAAGGCTCGAGACGGCGATGGCTAAATCCCTTTTTTTTTGTCTCGAACGGCAGCGAACGTTTTGAAGGTGCAATCGAGGAATCCTTACGCTCATATAATATAGAAAGGTAAAAATACGCCAATAATTTCCTTCTCCCAGGTGAAAAACACACCGGCATATTTTTTTCCTGGAAATGTTTTTCTGGTCGAAAATATCCCGCGACAGTAAGGCGTTTAAAGAGCGCTTTATCGACGAATTTTCCTCATGGAAACGCGACCGAGGAAATATCTCGTGAATCTGTCGACAGATGGCATCACGAGCGGCACCAGATGGTGCAACTTCCATCGCTCATTTCACTTCAGGAGTCAAAAATTGTCCTTTTCTAATGGGGGAACAAGGCTTCTTGGAACCAGTCGCAAAGCGAAATGAAACTCGCAGGTAAAGGGACGGGGAGGCACTCGCGGGGACGGGGAGGCACTCGCGAGGCAGGGGAGGCACTCGCGAGGCAGGGGAGCAGCCAGCAAAACGCAGACTTTTTTTGCTGCGCGTGTTTTCAATTGTTTTGTTGCGTTTAGAACACTTTTCGGTACCCAGATCCGATCCTAGATCGCGTAAAATTGCATCGCATAACTTCATTCACTCCGGGGAATTTTTGTAAGAGGAAACAATGTTGCAACCAATGTTAGAAATCCTTGAATCCAAACGAAAGACGTCGGTGAATTTTCGCATTTCCATGTATTTTATTTTTCAAGAGTTCAACATGGAATTCGGATTGATACCCTTTCCCGACCGAGCCGGGTCTCCCGAAAGGCGCCTGCAAAACCAATAGGGGAGCGGCACCAGTTCGCGAACAGGGAGCCAGTTAGCGAACGAGGGTCATGCAACGCGATTTGGCCTTTTGTTACTCTAGTTTCACACTCCATCCCAAGCATTAATTAATCAATCAATCCATTTTCTGCAGGTACCGAAAGCTGGAGCGTGTAACTCGAGAAACAAATGGCCAAATCGCATTTCA